TTCCTTGCAAACGACTTGACAAGTTTTAACAAAAGGACATATTCTGACAAAAAATGGAAAAAGTTTGTCTCTTAGAAGTCAGAACAAAGCAAATTTGCTTCCACTTCTTGGGGGCCTTTTGGTACAGCCTTTTCTTACATACCACGTACTTTTCTCCTCACAGGGCTTTAAATGCACAGGGCGTACATGCTCCAACAGCAAAGCATGCTTACGTAGCGTAGCACCTCCACCTTCTTTGGCGCAGTTTGCATGGCAGAGATTGGGAGGGAAGTTTATGACTAAGTCATGCAAAAATATCTTGGATGTGAATCTGTTTGGAGCGAGGTCTTGCACATGCAGGGTACAGCTGGCTCGGTCCATGGAAGGGGCCAGTGCTTCTCGGGCCAGCTGGCACAGTGACCTCTGTGCGTGCGGTTAAACTCACCTAGGCTCCAAAGCAGATGGCTGCGGACAAACCGCTTATTAGGAGCAGACCTTGAAGTGTGCTGACTCTCCAGCCATCCCTCCAAATTATTTGGGAGAGTCCTGATTGTGCCGCGCCAGGCGATGCTCTGGCGACGTGACAGCACAGGCAACTGAGTTCCTCTGCCTGAGGGTTTAATCTGCTCACGCAGGCATGCCCATGAAATGTGATAAAAACGTTAAGGACTCTGAAAAAAGCAGATATCTCATTTTGAGCAGCCAAAATTATTGGATACTTCAGACATGTATGACCTTCATTTCTCCACTATAAAGCAATGGTAATAATGGCCTCCTCGTGATGTTAAGAAGGGAAACTCTGGGATGCCCTGGAAGCTCACAGGTAGGATAGTGAGAGCTCCCTGAGGGAAATTCATCACTTTGCATGTAGTGTTGCACTTGCAGTAGGCCATGCTACATAACATGAGAGGCCAAATACTGAATAAGAAAGATGAAAAGACATTTAATGCAGAAGGGGTTGGTGTGGGGGGAATCACTGTATGCATATGGTGGGGGGGGAAGACACTTAACCTTCGTTCTGGCTTTCCCTAGCTTTTTGATTAGTAGTCTTTGCAGTTTTAACTTTCATTTAGTGCAAAGATTTGGCTTTGGTTTGGAACAGTTTTATTCAATCTTATAGGAATTTTCCTATGAAGTCATTTTATTATTGCAAGGAAAGAAAATCACTTCTATCTGGAGTTGCTCTTATTATATATCGACGGTTAGAATTTGCGTCTTTCTCTACTGATTGCTAAGCCGTGATGGTGAGCAGCAGGCTGGCGTTGCCTGCCTGCCAAGGAGCCGTCGCATTTCTCACCAGCCCATGGTGGAAAAAGCGCATGGTGGAGTTGCACACAGACAAAAGGTTAAGGCAAGAAACTGAACTGAAAAATATTTTAAGCCTGCTCAGGGCAAAAATTGCAGTATCTGAAGAGTTAGTTGCAGTCGCTAAAATCCAGAAAGGTTATTTAATGGATTGTAAAGGTAACCTCACTTGCATAATTCTGTTACAATGAAAGATCTAGTGATTTTGTGTGAAATGCATAACGTCAAATCTGAAGTTTAAATGTTATGTAGTTAAAGTAGAGGCTATTGATTACGTTTTTGTTAAAGGCACATTTAAATACAGGCTCTGTAGTCCAGGCTTGAGGAAAACCTGTGCAGGAAGAAATTTAAAAAAATTATCAGCAAAAAGAAAAGAAGGTGTGAAGAAATGCACTTAGGAAGCAAACTAAAAACTAAAAGGTTTTGTTTTTTTTTTTTTTTTTTAAGTTATGTAGGTCCACTGCTTGTGTATATTTCAATGAAAGGAACTCTGGAAAAAGGCACAAATAGCCCTCACATTTCAAGACTCTTCATTGGGGAAAGTACTTTTTATTTTTGGTCTTTTCAGAGTGCTACATGTTGTGAATGCTGGTTCATCCTTTGGCACATATGTACATCCGTAGCTCCTTGGATCCAGTCTTCTATCCACTAAACTTAGTGGTGCTTCACTGCTGACTTCAGTATGACCAGAGTTAAGCAGAATTTTTAAAGCTTTTTAGAAAAGCCATGTTTCCTCAAGCAGGAAGATGCAACCAATAATTATACTGACAAATCAGAAAATGTTTTATCAGCTTTAGGCCACTCTTGGTGACACTATAATTTTGCATTGTTTAACAAATCTGTGTGGTAACTACACTGCATAAAAGCTAAAACAATGCCTGGCCTTGCATAGCTTTAGTTTTGTCATCAGAAAAGCAAATGAGGGTATGGTTAACCTAAGATTAATCAGAGCAACTGCTTGATTTCCACTGTGCTTTACTCAATATAGCTAATATTAGGGAACACATATTAATAAAATAAAGAAGAAATCCCTGAGATTCAGTAGTGAATAAACTAGTGAACCTCTCTAGAAATTGCCTGAAGACTTGACTGATTTAATGGACAATGACAGAAGCTCTTTATGAATTTCTTAAATTCTTGTGTTTTGTTATGTAAGGCAACCTTTAAAGGAGAAACATCATTGTGCATTAAAGTCTAAAATGATTTTTTCAAAAAAGGTTGTAAATATCCTCTCATAGCTGCTTAGTGTTTCTGTGGTTGTCTCTGTCAGAAGAGTGATAAATGCATTGCAGACCACTAGGAGAAGCTTAAGTAAGGAGACCTTGCGAAGACCTGCATCCCCCCTTTCTTAGAAGTCCCCCGATCATCCTTTTGCATCTAAGGCAATGAGGCAGAGAGAAAAAACAGAGAAAAAATCAGCCTAAGGTGAAGAAGAAAAAAAGCAGAACACAAGAGAAAGGAATATATATTATGTAAAGCTATTGGTGTCAGGGCTTTGATTTTGATACGACATTTATCTTTGCAAGTGAAGTTATCAGATTATCTTTTTCATGAATGAAGGTAAATGTTACAGGCTTAAACCCTTACGTAAATAGGCATAGAGGTGCTCTGGGTTGCACTGGGAGATCAGGAGGGAGCTTCACAGTGCAGTGCTGGAGGCAGGATGGGAAGAGGCAGAATATTTTGGCCCTTGTGTTTTTGGAATAGGTTTAGCTTGACAGTGAAACTGCTAACATGATGGTGTTTTGGGCTGTTGTCAGTATGGGGGTTGGCAAGACAGTGAGCTATGCACTCAACCCCCCCAAAAGATCTGTAAATGTGAATATTACTTTGATGGGTAATTTTCCTTTTCCTTGATGTTTTTGGACATGGAAGTCTGTTAATGCCTGTATCATACATGGCTGAGCCTTATTATTAGTTTACCTGTTGGTGGAGGAACTTGTAAAGTTTTGATACAATGAGGTCTAGTAATTTTAATTTTATGCTAACAACATAGTCAACCCTGTCATAAGGCATGTCAGATGACACGCTGAAATAATTCTTCATTTTTCGTGGTGTTTTTGGTAACAGATTATTCTAGATCCTCACTGCTCTGGTGAGGATCTGGTCTTTGTGACCCTTTCACATTTTCACCTTTTTTCATGGTGAGTTTGCACCCATTTGTTCTTGTGCCATCATGATCCTTTAGTACAAATAATTCTTCTCCCTCCCTGGTGTTTACCCCGATGTATTTATAGGTTACAATCCCTCCTATGCTTACTCTGCAAAGAGGATCAAATTCTTGTTCACATCAAATGCTTTTTTAAAGGTGGAGTTATTTAACTTAAAAAAAAACCCAAACAAACAAACAACCCCCCAGACTCTTGACTTGTTGACTTGCAGAGAACAGGAGGAGGAGATGTCAATTCAGGGAAATTACTAAGGAGGATTTTCCTCCTTCAGAAGAGAAGCTTGCCTAAGCATTCTTAATATTCCTCTCTTTGGGCCATGGTACCATTGCTAGGTTATTACTTAAGCACTGTGTCAGATATTTGACCGTAGTAGAGGTGGTGGGTGGGTTTCCTTCCTGATTGATTCTGATATTCCAACTTTGGTGACAAACAGCTGGACTGCAGAGCTCGCTGAAGCACTGGGCACAGAGAGTGCGGATGCGCTTGCGGGTTATTAAAACTGAGATTGCTGATTGCTGTCATGCAATCATGGCCCTGCAGCAACTTAACAGGTGAACAAGTGGGACAGAGAAGAGCCTTTCTGAGGAGCCAGGGAACGGTATGCACAGTCCTTGCCTATACACATATATTACTGTTCAGTTGGCTGAGAGTTAGGATTCTTTTGATCTATTTGTAAAGAAATCAGCAGTGCCTGGTGCTAGAAAATTTGACTTGTCAGAATGGCAATTGAATTGTTTGGTGAGTAACATTTGGCCATGAAAGAATACAGTAAATCAAGATTTGGGTTGGCAGGGGGAGGTAAGCAGTTTGGTTTCACAGAAGATTTTGATGTGCTCTAATTGTTTTATTCAGTTTCAGAATATATCTCCCAAACTTGAATTATTCAATAAAAGGGAATCTAGCCCTCATTTCACTTTCTCCTTATGGATATCTCTACAATCTTTCCATTAGCATACCTCACATTAATGGGCAAGTAATCAGATTAAGCTAACATGGCTGCATCAGAAACTGTTTTAAAAAAAAAAACAAAACAAAACAACAAAAACCCAAGTCCTCCGTACAAACTGTCACAGTTGATTTTCATGAATGCACAAATTTCAGTGATTTTTTTCCTTTACTTAAACATAGTGCTCTTAGCTGTTCCAGTTGTTCCAGTGGTTCTGTATATTACCACAAAAGAGTCTCACTGTAGAGAGAGCAAATTACCATCATTAAATTTTCATCTGCATATGAAAGTGTGGAAAGGGAGAGACAGAGGGTGATTGGGGAATATCTTGTGCATTGCAATATTCTAATTTTTTGTCTTTTTTAGCTTCAGGAATGGAGCTGTCTATCTGAAGAGGACTCTGCCCAAATATTTGTAGTCTCCAAGCTCATTCTGCTAAAGGCTCTGGTGTTACAACTGCATCCTTTCCAGAATGGCTGAGAAGGCTCCACCAGGGATCAACAAAAAGTCTTCAAGGTCTACCCTTTCTCTGCCTCCAGAACCAGTGGAGATCATTCGGAGCAAAGCCTGCTCGCGGAGAGTTAAAATAAATGTCGGTGGGCTCAACCATGAAGTGCTGTGGAGGACTTTGGACAGACTTCCAAGGACACGATTAGGAAAGCTCAGAGACTGCAATACTCATGAATCTCTGCTCGAAGTATGCGATGACTATAATCTAAATGAAAATGAATATTTTTTTGATCGACACCCAGGGGCTTTCACTTCCATTTTGAATTTCTACAGGACAGGGAAACTGCATATGATGGAAGAAATGTGTGCTCTTTCTTTTGGCCAGGAGCTTGATTACTGGGGGATTGATGAGATATATTTAGAATCTTGCTGCCAGGCAAGATACCATCAAAAGAAAGAGCAGATGAATGAGGAGCTGAGGAGAGAGGCAGAGACAATGCGAGAGAGAGAAGGGGAAGAGTTTGATAATACCTGCTGCTCAGAGAAAAGGAAGAAGCTCTGGGACTTGCTGGAGAAACCCAACTCGTCTGTGGCAGCAAAGGTAGGACAAACAGCACGCTTAACGCAAAGGCAGTAGAAAACAGTTTCATGACCCATGTATCTGACATGCATGAAGCAACAACTTTCACTAAAATATTTAGAGAAAAGAAGAATCTAAAAATTTACATATCATGAAGTGAATACACCCAAATCTGTCTTAAAACCCTCTGAAAACAGCAGAAGGGATCCTCTTTTGTTGTATATAGTCAGAAACATCTGTGTCATTGTTAATGGACTTCACTCTGACGAAAATGCACCCAGAGAACACTTCCTACATTTTGTTAGAAAAGCATTTAGTTATGAAAAACATACATTTCAGTATTGCTGCTTGTCCTATTACAGGCATTGCATAGGTGTGGCATCGGTGTCTCATAAGGTGTGTTGGGTAGGTTATCAAAGGGTAGTGTCAACAGCTGCTGTCTGGCATGGTTCTACATTGGGCAAGGATTGCAGTTTGTTTTCTCTTATACTACATTTTTGTGAGCAAGAATTGGAGTGTTCTGTATAAAAGTGTTAAAATATTAAACCATATATACACACACACACACACGTATATTTCTATGTATGACTGTATATGTATATAAGCAAGTATATATTATATACATACATATATATACGCACATACAGTCATATATATACACATGTAAAATTTGTATATATTTAGGGAGAAATGAGGAAACATTCAGATGAAGTCTTGCTCCAGTACTGCTGTCTTCAAACAGGCAAACTGGCAAAAGTCTCATTGATACATTGGAGAAGTTTACCCTTGTCAGGGAAGCGGGACCGTGCACACAGATGTTGGTACTGCTATTTAGAAGAAATATTTTCTTGCTTCTTGAGGAACTTCATTGTTCTATTTGTGATGTGAGGTACTATTTAACGTGGGAGAATTATAGAAGCTTGTCTCCAGTTTGAACTGCTCAGAGCAAAGATGGTCAGTGTTTAGATGTTCATGTTAAGCTTAACTGTGGCTTTATTTTCTTCTGTTGTTGATTTGTTACTGGATGCAATGCCATTGGACTAAGGTAAGTATAAAAATATCATGGTGGAATGGACAAAACCCAGAATCCTGGCAAAGATTTTCCTTGCAATAGCAGCTTCATGCTATTGATGTGCAATACACAATTTTTTTAATGTTAGTTTTTCATTGTGGGGCTGCCTAACTGTTTAAGAAAGGACTTACTTTTGTAGAAGAATTATTTATCATGCCAGAATATGAGGTTTGTAACTGGTATAAAAGCTTATAGAAGAAAAAAGAAGGTATTCAGAATATTTTAGAAGCGATCTGAATACATTTGCTGCTTCTGAGATACATATTCTGGGCCATATGTTCCTCTCCATGAGAAGGAGCAGAGGGGAAGCAGATGGGCTTAAGCTGTGCCAAAAAGGGTTCAGGGAGGCCGTGTTACACACCATGATCCCCTGGTACAAGCTAGCGTCCATCAGCCCCTCCAGCACTTTCGTGACACAGCTGCTACACAGCCTGCAGGAGTCAGGAACCACCTTCTCAGTCCTGTACGGCTTGAAACATTGCTGATGTGGGCTGTGACAGACCTCTCCTTCTCCCAGGTGCAGGCGGGGGGGGGGGCCCCTGGTGCCACGTGGGTGCGAGA